CTAAACCCTGAACCCTAAACCCACGGCTGCCAGACCTTGAAGTTCAGCACCTAGGAGCCTGAACCCGCTCAGCGCAATGCACGGAGACCCTGAAGGAATTCAGTTTAGGGTTTAGGGTTTAGGGTTTAGGGTTTCAGCTTCGCAAGAGCCTCTGCCTTAAGGACGACATGACCCTTAAAGTAGGGGCCTACTATACCCTATATGCTATGAGTCTCTTAAGGACGACATGACCCTTAAAGTAGGGGCCTACTATTGACTATACCCTATAGGCTATGAGTCCCTATATGGTATATGAACCCTCATCCGTTTTAGAAGTCATTTCGTCCTTTTATAAGGTGTGTGAACTCCCCCGCTGTTTTCCCGCTGCTTCGGCAGAACCACTCGGCTATCAAAGGACCCTAGGGAGATGTTGGTACTGTGTCTTGAATGCAGACATGTGCTTCTTGCCTGTTCTATGGCCGCTTTGTGATATAGGATCCTACGTATAAACCACAAACCCTGGAAAAAGGAACTAGAATGGAGCCTATGGGTAAAGTCAGACTCGTCTTCCAGGGCTGGTGAAAAGGCCCAGAGGCCCCCGGAGACTCTAAAACTCCTTTTAATTAAGAGGTTGGGAAAATTAGGGTTCCCTTTTTGGGTTCTTGATATACTATGGCACCTGGGTGGTTGTCAAAATTGGGGTCCCTGTTTGGGTCTCTTAAATACTATGGCACCCAATATGTGGGGTACCCCGTTCAACAAAGGACCAAAATGTTGACAACCGCCCAGTTGAGGAGTAGACGACCCTAAAGTCATATTCTGAATCACCCTCTACCTTAACCTACCAGAACCTACTTTTTTGTAGGGTCCCTATAAATCCCATATAAGGGTTTATAATAAGAACCCACAAAAAAGTGGGTTATGGTAGGTTAAGGTAGTCTAAGGCTCTAGTGTTCAGTGCTTAGGGTTTGGGGTTCAATCATAATGTGGACCCCGCTCTAATTCAAGGTCTATTCCTTAGATTAAGGTGTTCTTGAGTCTCTGGGCCCTCACGGACTGTGATGCTCCAAGTGGGCGATCCGCGCCTCCGTGGCTCAAAGTGGCTTCAAGAAGCGGCTTTGGGCTTACAAGGTTTGGGGTTTAGGGGTTCAGCGGTTCACATGTTTCGGGGTATAGGGTTAACCGTCAGCATGCTAATTTCTAATCCGCCGATTTGGAACAGAATCTCCCGCGTAGCCAAACATGTATTCCGCGCATCAGAATCACCCTTGGTAAAGGGTTTATTAGGTTTACGGTCAGCCTCCGCAACAAAAAACGGACTCAACAAGAATTCCGGTACGGGTTATTGGGTCCGCGTAAAAGGTGAAATTTCAGATATGGCTTTCATGTCACCATCATCTAGGGTTTTTGCGCGTTTGGTGCGCGTACGCTTTTATGTACGATTTTGTGTTCACCACATTTTTCACCATTGCGGTTCCACTTGCCCAGAAGAGAATGCCGAGCTGAAACCACAAGTGTTCCCAAAAGGTACGTGTGCACCCCTTCGAAACTTAGGCCGCCCACCGGCGACAAAATCTATGCCAGCGTAACAAGTGGTCCGACCAACCAGTAGAGGAGAAGTAGTCCGGCAGACAAAGTATGTATGCCAGCTTCAGAAATTCTAGCTTTTCAGTGGTTGGGCTGGAAAAAAGCAGGCTTACACATACACACAGACGGACATACGTTGGGGCTTTGGGGCTTGATACAAGAGCTGCTTCGGGCTATTCGCAACCTTGAAGGGTTGTCACCTAAGAGTTGTCGCATTTTGAGCATTGGTATGGAGCCGGATACCCTGTCAATATGCGGCAAATAACGTAACGTCAAGGGCGCTTCCTGTACGGTCCTGCAAAAAAAAGGACATAAATTCAAAAGACAATACCAACATCAGAGTCTATAGAGTCTAGGTAAGCCCCGAAGGAATTGACGCAGAAATGAAAGTTACAACAGCCACTTGGGGTATGTTACAGTTTCTAGCCCATTAATCCATCCCAGGGACACTGCGGACAAGGTCAGCGTGGCTGGAAGCAAAACCCCCACACCCAAACCCTAAACCCTAAACCCTAAACCCTAAACCCTAAACCCTAAACCCTAAACCCTACTTGCATTGAGGCTTGGGGAAACCGGTCGGATTACAGCTCTGGACTCCCAACTTTAGACGCGCAGCTTCTCGCGCTGTAAGCTTGGTTGCTGGTATACAGGCCCTGAGCTCTACAACGCCAAACCCTGAAGCACTGACTAAGAAGCCCATATACCCCTGAACCCTAAACCCTATAAACCCTCAACCCCAAAACCCCTAAATCCCGGAACTGCCCTAAACCTCCATAGGTCTAACCACTCTAAGCCTTGAGACTCTAAATGTCCCAACGCTTCGCCTATAGACTCCAGAACTCCTGAACTAAGGGATTTTTAGTGTTTAGGGTTGAGGGTGTAGGGTATAAGGTTCAGGATTTAGGGTTTAGGGTTTCGGATTTATGGTTTAGGGTTTGGGGGCTTATAGGGTTTATGGTTTCATGGCTGTATAGTTCAATTATTTGTCCCACCTCCTCTTCTGCGATGTGTGTTCCGAGGACGCCCACAGAGAGGCCGCTGGATTTTTCCACGAGGCCATCCACGACGAAGAGCTGGAACACCTCGACCCGACCACTACGTTTCAGGCTTGAGGGTACCTTAAGGACGAAATTGACCCTTAAAAGTAGGGGCCCTAATTATACCCTTCTTCTATGAATCCCTTTTTGGGCTTATGAACCGTAAACCCTTTTAGGGTTCATTTCGTCCTTAAGGTAGAGGCTTTCTTGTTTTAAATTGCGCCCACGTTCCCTGTTCGATCTGCCCGCCTACAGGGTTTGGGGCCTCGCGTCTCTGGGGTGCAATACTTGGGTCTTAGCATTTTAGGGTTTAGGGCTTATAAGTTTTGAGAATAGTTTTTGGCGGTCTAGTATGGTATAGGGTAAGAGGATACGATTACAAACTGCTCAGTCTATATTAATGCGAGCAGCCGGGACGAGCATGAGGATCCAGTAGATCAGCAGCATGGTCCTCAGCCGCACATTCAGTTCGAGGCTCTCATGTTCTCTGGTTCAAAGGGTTTGGGGTTTAGGTCCAAAGATATTATACAGAGGTCAATCCCTAAGTGTCCAAGTGCCCAAATAGTAGGGTTTCAAGGTCCACAAAACTATTTTGAGTAATTTTGGATTTAATGGGACCTAAAACCTTACTATTTGGGTACTCGGACCCTCTGGGAATAATGAAACTGTGACACGACCTAACAGGCAGAGGGGCGCGTCCCACAGCAGCGTCCAGCGCCAGGGGATGTAGTACTTCACCTGCCGCTCCTTCCTGGCGCTTTGGGCTTTTCCGGACTGGAAGCTGGCTAAAGCAAAGTATGGTGCAGCTCTACTATTAGGGTTTAGGGTTTAGGGTTTATAGAGTTTACAGGGTTTAGGGTTTAGGGTTTAGGGCTTAGAGTTTATAGGGTTGAGGGTTTGTAAGTTCCTTTGAGCATGGGGATGGGCACATAGATGCTGTCAAGGCGAGGGTTGCCCTTCAATTTGAGCCGACACCGGAACGGTTTAGGGTTTAGGGTTTAGGGTTTAGGGTTTAGGGTTTAGGGTTTAGGGTGCGCCTCAGCTCCTTGCAGGAGAGAACGTAGTGGCAAAGCTCTGCAATCCGGTCAGAGTCGAAATCCTGCCAGGAGTGGCATGGACATGGACAAAGGCTGTGCAAAGGTGTGCGCTTGAAACGGATGCTCGATCTACGCCCAGATTGCGGAGGCCCACCAGAACAAGTCCAGGGCGTGACTAAACCGACATTGAGGGATGAGGCAGCCATCCGTTATATAGGAGCCTTCGTAATTAGAATTGGGCTTCGGGGCATAATTAATATTGTAGAGTGATACTATAAGGTCTATAAGGGGATTATATTGAGAAGTATTCCGACCCCTGTATTGGACTGGCGATGCTGGCGGAGTTCGACGTCTTTTCTGCACGAACTAGCAGCATGCAATCGTCTCTCGTCTCGGCAAACAGCCCTACAACTTGCACCGAAACATTTCCCACTTGCAGTCCACTTATCATCCACTACTGGACACGAAACCCTGAACCCTAGACCCTGTTCCGCCACCGCAACTGCAAATTTCGCACTTCAAGCTCTGGCCTGCGTGGAAATGAAATCCAGATCGCCTTCCACCTGGCCATGTGGGTAGTTCTCAAAATTGGGGGTCCTTTTCGGTTCGTTTTTTTTAATCAAGGTGCCCTATTATTGTAGGGATCCGAAACAAGGGTTGACTCTGAACCTGCCCCCCTCGCGAACTCCGCGCTGGAAACTTACGCCTGAAACCCGCCCGAAACCTCCTAGACACAACCCTAAACCCTAAACCCTATAAGCCATGATTCCTAGACCTCAAACCTTACCTCCCAAGGCCCGCCCCTGAACAGCGAGCCTCGTGCAGTCGGAGAATGAAGAGAAGGCCCAAAGCCTGGGGTCTTCTTAAGGAGTTTAGGGTTTAGGGCAGAACCGGGACCTTACCATGTCACGGTAGCCTAAGCCCTTAAACTAAGAACATGCATTACCATAATCGGCATCCATGATAACTAACATCGCTACCTTGTCCCTACAGCCTAAACTATGAACAGGCCCCTCAAGGGGGACGAAGGATGTACAAAAGCATACAACCCCTGTGAAACACAAGAGTAAACTAAGAACTGTTAAGTTGCCATAATATTGGTCTATTATAACAAATATGGTATTGCTACCTTGCCCCTCAAACCCGAACCCTACATGTAGGTTGCCAAAATGGGGATCCCTGGTAAATGACATGGTTATCTTGTCACAGTAGCCCTAAAACCTAAATATAAGTTACAATAATATAAGTTACAATAAGAGGCATCTACAGTAAACTAATATGGTTCTACGGAAACGCTGAACCCTAAATCCTTCAACCAAGAACATGTAAGTTACCACAACAAGGATCTATAG